TAAGTAAAGAAATAATATATATATATATAAAAACAAAACGATCGAATAATTTTTTTCCCCAAAGAAAATTACGTTCCGATGCTTTGAAATATGAATTAAGTCGTTTGAGTATGCACACACACCTGCTTTCAGCATTGATTAATAAAATCAACTTTGCCGACTCGCTTTTGCGGACGCTCTAACGATTTTGATAAATTCATGAAAAGTTTTTCACGTTTCTGTCAAGATTACGATAATTCCTATGACGGGAAGAGCTTTCTCTCTCTCCAATCTCTCTCTCTCCCCCCATGCCCCACCTCTTCTCTCTTTCTCACTCTTGCAAACGAGATGAGACTAGGTGGGGGAGGAAAGAAAAAAAAAAATAAAAAAGCAACAAAATATAATTTCTATTTCGATATTTTGCCGATAAATTTTATTCCATTAAACGAATATTTCGATCAATCCGTTCGAATAAAATGTTACAATATTGTATTAATAATGTCAAATCAATCGAGATAATATATTCTAAACTATTTATAAACAATCGCACAGATTTTCGAAATGAATTACGCGAATTTTTATTCCTTGTTTAATTTTGATTCTTTGTAAATTAACGAAATAATAACATTGTTGTATTTTAAAATTTTAACCCGTCGAAAGATTACAATTCGAAAATAAAAAAAAATAAAACAACTAATAAATAATTACGAAGAGAGAGAGAGAGAAAAAAAAAAGAGGAACAATATGTGTTAAATCCAATTGGAATAAATATCACGGGTAACGTATTCTTATTGGTTTTGAATTAATTGTGTTCAACTTTTATACCTTCCGACCGGTCAAACGTACAATTTTTAACAGAAAACTTTGATTGTTTTTTTATCATCGATTACGGCTGATGGTCAATTTGTTATCGGATTAAATAACGAATAAAATGTATGGTAAGTATGTAAAAAATAATATAACAACGATCGCAATAATAAACGTCGTTGAATTTCAATGAACGGGAAAATTTGTAGTAAAAAATTATTTATAACCGTAAGCAATTTGTTCGATAGTTACATTCGTAAATGTTCGTTGTTAAAAAAGAAAGAAAAAAAAAAACGATTGAACTTGTATAAAATAAATAAAATCAAAACGGATTCTTATCATTGATTACCTTTTTACCTGTTTCTTTGGTTTATTCTTACGATTGCAGTAAAGCCTTGTTCGCAAATAGCAATCGGTTCGATTGTTCAACCAACAATGTGACGTTATAGATACGATTTTTACAAATATCATCATTAACGTTTGGTTTTATAACAAGAATGTGTTTAAAAAGGAATTTGCATTCCTCTACTTTGCATTGTCTACGTTACGGAAACATCAAAATGCATATGTGTGCATGTGAGTGTGTGAGAGAGAAAGAAGGAAAAAGAGCTTTGTTGGAAATAGAAAATATCTCAACGTAATAATACGATTAAAAAACAAAAAGAAAGATAAAGAAATTGAACGTGGAGCTATTGTGCTTTGTATGTATTTTTCTTTTTTGTTATATGTATTTATACTTTTCTCACACAAAACAATAACTGTTATAATACATCGGTTTTTTTTTTTTAACGTAACTTTCAATATTACAATTTTTCTCTGCGATTTCGTAGAAAAATATCAAATTAAATTGACTTTCAATTTTTTCCATATATAAATAATCTTATTAATTATTTATAAATATTTCATATATATACGTTATAGAGTGCTTGATATTAAAATATTTTTTACACGAACGAGTTATACGCGCATAATTTTAAAAAACATCAATATATAATATTGGATCGTTGCATCATTCCCGTAGCATTTCTTTCTGATATCGGCCTCCGATTTTTTTGCGTCGATATAAAGTAGAACATTTTTTTTCCCCGTTTGAAAAACATATTAATAAACCGTTTAATAAATGGTTACAAATTATTGCTTATAACGATCGGTTTTAGCATTAATCAAAGAAATTTTTCTCAAGTTCTCAGATGGATTTTTTTTTTAAATGAATTCAAAAAAGAAGAAAACAGGAATTATGCAACGATCTAATATATTACGTATAGAAATTTCTTATTGAAATATTATGCTAAAAGGTAAGGATATACTGCAACACATTTCTTAATCTTAGAAATATAGGAACACTATAATTGAAAAATAAATGATAGATAAATTAATCTAAGAAGAATTCCTTGCAACATAAGATGCAAGAAAATCTACCAATACAAATAATTACTCGCACAGAATAAACATTATATTATTATTCAATCTTATATACAACGTATATTTCACGAATATTATTCTATCGTGATGGATCAATTTTCTTATCATTTATGACGAATAATATTTCTCCCCAACGATAATATTACAATATATTATATATATATATTCATTTTACAAAATAATATTCGTATCAATTTGAAATTAAAACGATCCTACATATATTATTACAATTAATCGTAGACAAATTATAAAAGATTTGTACAATTATCGATAAAAATATATGAATGATTTTAATAAAAATTGATACTTAAGTAAGTGGAAGGTAAAACGAAATAATATAATACACGACAAATATTTCAAATGACACTTATTGCACAAGTTTAAGACGATTTATCTTACGATTGTATCTACCTTGTAAGTGTGTAACAAATACAACAATAGGATACTTTTGGAAATGGTTAAACGTAACGTGATGGTTATTGGAAACTAACCTGGTCGATCTACTACCCCATCGTGAAATACACACAAGTCGGTGAGCCTACGTCATACCTTGGCGTACGTATGTACATTATTCATAGACATCGGTGAAAAGGGCGCCAGCCGTATTACGTATGCCACGGGTTATTATGCCCTCTAAATGTTTAATGTGTTTGCCTTCCTTCGCCGGCCACCGACGTGGCTTTATGTTTTACTAAGTAAATTACTGTTTTTTTTTTTATTAGTCTACCCAGCGTTAATGTTGGCTCAATCGATTCCTACCCTTCCCTCTTTCCCTCTCCTTCAGCCCCCCCCTCACCCCCTCTTTCTCTCTCTCTCTCTCTTTTTCTCTCATCCATTCTCCCATCGAACCTTTTCTCTTTTTTTCTTATACTACATCCTTTCTTTATCTTTTCTTACGTATTCGCCAAGGACGTATTCAAATTCACCGAAAAAGATTGAGGGGGGAAACAACGATAAAAAGAAATTCGATTGGATAAAACTCATCCCTTACTTTTAACTTTGATTTTATATTTTGTCAATCGATTATTAGAAAAATCAAATAACATTATACCGAGAATGTCCTCTTCTTCTACTTTGGCAAGAATTTCGATATTAATTATTGTTTTTAAAATTTGAAAAATGTATGTAATATCATCTAGAATAATTTCGATTAAGAAACGAGGGTAAACGAAATGACAAAGATGGTAAATAATCTTCCGGGTTTGCTAAATTTCGCGAAGAAGAAGAATAATAATAATAATAGTAAAAAAATCCCTTTTCTTCGTTTCCAATGGTAAAGACGCTTAAAGTCCAGCGGTAAAGTCCGAACAACGAAAGTGCCGTACGTTATACCGAAAATTAATATACGGGACAAGGCTTCTCTTTTACGAGAATAGTAGAAGGTAGAAAAGGAAGGGAGAGAAAGAAGGAAGCAAGGAAGCAAGGAAGGAAGGAAAGGGATCGGTGAGGGAGGATGGAAGCTGGCTGAAATCGTTAAAACCACGATCGCAAAAACGCGCGATGCCGAAAGCCGAGAGAGGCGGCAGAAAGTTCGGAATTTACTGCCCGACATATTGGCTGCGAAAGCACACGAAATTAAGGCTAGTAAAACACTTTCCTGACACTCTCCGCCGTTTTCTCTTCCACACTTTCCTCTCTCTCTCTCTCGCCCTTTCCCTTTCCCTCTCTCTCTCTCTCTAGAAAACCCCCATTCCACCCACTTTGCAAGCGTAACGCGAATTTTCTCCCCTTTTCTCTGTTCCTCTTAGCAAAACGCCACCTCTAACGTCGAACGTTCAACCTACTAAACTAAACAACCCCCCTCCCTCCCCTTCTCCTACCTACCTTCCTCACCCTTTTTCTCTGGTTAATACTTCGACGAAATATTCCTTCATATATTCCTAATGGAAAGAAACTTTCGAATTATGTCAAACATCCCCCCAACCCACCACCCCCACCCCCNCACCCCCACCCCCACCCTCCACCACCGCTTATTTTCTTAAAACTTTGTCTCGTAACCCCGTGTTAAACGTTTTCCTTCAACGATCGCGGTTGTAATTATCGCACGCGTATAATCACTCTTTAAATTATTATACTTCATATTCGATAATCGCTCGTACGTTCGATAATCTTGCTTTAGATCACCCAACGCAGCCTCCCCCCTCGTTCTCCTCTTCTCTACCTTCCACTCGTCTACCCCTCTTCCATCGCATCCTCTTTCTCCTTGTTCGTTGTTTGTACTATTATCGTAATTGCAACTGGAAAATCTAATTATACTGGGACAATGTATAGATACCGTTACTAATCTATCTGTCTATCTATTACTATCTTTCTACATCTCTCTAATCATTATCTATAATCGCTAATTTTCTCTTTCCATCTTACTTTCCTAACTGGAGATTGCATTGAATATAATTCAAGTATTTGATACGCGAGAGGAAGTAATGTTGTTGATTTTTTATTTTTCTTTATTTCTCTTTTTTCTAATTTTTAATGTTTTTTTTTTGTTTTTTTAGAAATACGAAAAGAAAAGAAAAAAAAAAATACGAAGAGGACATAAATTTAAATTTCGTATCGTTTATCTCGAAGAGATACAGTTGGCGCCATCTGACGGACGAAAAGCGAGTTCGATATGATCGATCAACGGTAACAAACGAAACACGGATTTTCTTTTCATTATTTTGTTAACAATTGACGATTCAAAAGAATGTTTATAAAAGAAAAAAGAATATTTATAAATAAATTAAAAAATGAAATTATAATAAATAAATAAATATATATATATATATATATATAGATAAATAAAAACTTACCAAAATAAATTTGTAGAACAAAACAAAATCGAATTTAAAATGTTGCGGGGGTGGTGTGTGTAACGCAATAAATGAAAACTGGGTTGAAACAATTGGTAATCGGGCACAGAAGAAGTTTAACAACAAGGCGTTAGAAATTCTGTAACAAAAAAAAAGAAACAATAGTAAGAAAAAGAAAAAATGACCAAAATAAATGACAGATAAAATTGACAGGAACGTCGGAATCAAGGAGAACTCTAATCTCGTACGAGGGAACGGTCGGTACGAAAGAATTTCTCACCCGCGAAATGAAAGTATATCATTCCCTCTCAAAAATTAAAAAAAAAGAAAATGAAAAAGAAGAAGAAAGAGTAAAGAAAAGAATAAAAACAATCGTAGATATAAACGTAGAAAAGTAGAAAAAGAATCGATCCTTTTTTAAGATCGATATTAATCAACGAACGTTCTTGAAAAAGAACGGAAAGGTGACGTCAACGTATCGACTGATTCCAATTGGATTAATCGAAAACTTCAAAGGATGAATGATAAAATGGCGCGAACGTTTTCACCCGAGTAAAGCCGAAAGTTTTTAATTTTGTATAAAGTCAAAGTTTTAATTGATAATACGACGGGGAGGAAAATAAGATGCAAAGGAGATGAGGAATAAAAAGAAAAAATAAAAAGAAAAAATAAAAAGAAAAAAAGAAGAATCCGAACAAAAAGTTCCAAAGTGGAAAAGCAAGAATAAAAATTTGGAAAGATGGATATTCGAAGAAATTAGTAAGAATGAGAAAGAGAGAGAGAAAGAAAGAGAGGGGGAGGCTGGGGACAAAAGGGGAAGGAGTGTGTTGAGGGGTGAAGGGAAGAGAATAATAGTTTTGACATCTCTATGGCGCGACGTCGCGCACGAGAGACGACGACGATGACGACAACGACGACGACGACAACGACGCAGGCGTCGCCACCGCGTTGTATACTGCACAACCACTTGTGGATTGCAGGCATGGCCTAAAGTGCGAGAGAGATGCACGACCTAGAGGACGAGGACACTTGCTGCTCTTGCTGGCTACTGCTGTTGTTATTGCTGTTGCAGTTATAATTGTGTATTGTTGCTCTTACTGTTTCTTTCCAATGAACAAAATAAATGGCGACGACCAAGACGAGAAAAAGGCACGACACAAACGCGATTTGGAAAAACGAGTGGATGAAAAATAAAAATTAAAAAGATAATCAAACAAAATGTTGAAATTTGAAAATGTCGATATTCACGTCTTACTCGTGAAAAAGGAGGGGACGAGAGGGAAAGTAATTGGGGTTGGGTAAAAACAACGATTTTCTCGCGGTAAATAATCTTCCCTGTGAGTGCTCGTGTGCGTCCTGTTTTCCGTGTGTTCCTGCCGCCTTAATTATTGGGCCAAATAATTTGTCGAAATGTCGTTGATCCTTACCAATGAACGATCAAAACGATCAAATATTATCTTCTTTAAAGGTATCCCATTGAGTCGCGATACACATGAAATCAAACGGCCACGGAATTCACCAAAATACTAGGAGGAGACTTGCGGCGAGACGTTTCCCTCTGTCCGCGGAACGACTGCATGTACACATTGGCGATAGTGCTGCCAACTCGACGGCGTCTCAACGTACTAACGTACGACGACGCCGTTTTCTTCCTCTTTCCCTCCGCTGGTTCCCATACCCGCCAAATTTAAATTCGCGTCGCGACGCCTGTTCGAACTCGTTCGTTACATTTCCCCGTGATTGTTCAAAATTATACCTTAATTTCTTTGTTTTTGTTGATTATTATAAATTAATCGAAGATAAATGAATTACGATTATTGACTTTTACTACTCGACAAAAGAAATACTACGAATTTTTATATAAGAATCGCGATTGTATTAACATTAAAGACAAGTTGAAAAGTAGTAGAAGTTTATATTTATTGACGAAACATTCGTAAAATGTTAAAAAATTCAGGCCAAGTTCCGACGAATCGTATGTAGTCTCGTCTCACATCGGTGGCGCTATAAACGTGGGTGTATCAGACGCCACAGTGGTGCTCATTTCTACGAACAATCCAATATATTTTTAACTTATTAATAAATTAAGACATATTACTACAGCTATCAAAGACAATCATACAAAAGATAGATTCTAATCGAATATAACAATCAATTATTTCTCACCCCAACGATAAGTTCCTACAAAAATAACTATATTACAAAAAGCAATTACGTATCACTGGTCTGTAACAATTCTGCCATCTCTTTAAAGCAATTCTCACAAGAAACACCCTTCTTTCCTATTCGAAACAAACGAATCGTCAATGTATCCTAAACGAAATAAAAATCATCCAATTGATTGATGCGAAAAAAAGAAAAGAAAGAAAGAAAAGAAAAAGTAGCAAAATCTCTTTCGAAAAAAAAAAAAACGTAATTCAATTCAAATAAATTCCACTATACAACCCTTATTATGAAGGAACCTTTAATAAGCGCACAGAGAGTAAATTGAGAAGGAAGGAAGGAAGGAAGATAGAAAAGTGGGGATGAAAAAAAGGTGGAAATAAGGGGGAGTAAAAGAAGGAGTGGAAAGGAGAAGGGGTGGGTGAGGTAGGGGTGGCAGGGAGGTAGGGTGAAGGAGAGACGAGGGGTCGGTCGGTCGTTCTGAAGATGGCGTCGGCAGTGTGCGCGACGCTTCGCGTCGAGGACGTGAGACGAGGACGGTGGCGAATTAGAGGAGGAGGAGGAGGAGAAGAAATTGGTGTTTAGTGAACTAGTAATATCATAGTCGATCATTTTACTAAAAGAGTAATAATAGAGGAAAAATATAGATACTCGTTAAAGGTGTCGAGGGCACCCTCAAGAGCGGCAACCTTCTGAGCTTGTGCTCGTTAAATGGGCCAATCCGGTGACGGCTTCGTCGTCTTATTGCATGTTCTGTCTTTCTTATACATATATATATATATAGATATAGATAGATAGATAAACGTGTGTATGTGTGTACATGTGTACATATATACATGCAAATAGGAATATCGGGCTCCGTTTTACCCCGGATCTCGAGTGACAGGCGGCCGCTTACGTAACGGATTATTCTCGCTATGATAACGATACTCCAGGCGCGAATACGAAACGACAGAAACGATCCTTCCAACGACGGGTGGTTATTCGCGGCGCTGCCTGCGACCCTGCCAGAAATACGTCGTGACTGACCCGAATAATCATCTCTCCTCTTCCTTCTCTTAACCCTCCTACTCCTATTCCTCCTCTTATTTTCTTCCTCCACTTCGGCTTATTCTACTTTGACTATTACTACTAATACTAATTCTTCTTCCTCGGTTATTCTCCACTTCCTCGTTGTTCATTCTTTGGGCTCGTTGTCGTCGTCGTCGTTGCACTCATCTTCCTTTTTTTTATCGTCGTCTACCACCTACTTCTCTTTTTTCAATATATAATATATGTATATATATAGTATTTACTCATATATATATATACATATATCAGCACCCGTGTGGTGTCTCTGTGAAAGCATCCCGTCGGGATTTCATTCCTCTCGTTGATAAACCGCAGCAGAACGACAGACCTGCAAATAACAAACGGACAAGAAATTATGACAGCTGCGCTCGTCATGGAAAACATTAATTGGGATCCCGGTAAGCTTACGAAATAGTTACCCTCTTTCTCTCTTTTCTATTTGTGTTTTCATCCCTTTAAACGCACGAGTTACTCTCTCTCTTTCTCTCTCTCTCTCTCTCTCTAGTTCGGTGTACTCGTGTATGCGCGAAGAAAACAGTGTTAGATATATATCTGGATTTGATAAATATAGTATACGATTCGTTTTTGTTTAGTCACAAATATAAAATTATTGAATATATTATTTTTATTGTTAAAATATATCATTTAACTGTGTCAAGAAAACAATGTTAAATATAGAGATAAATGAAAAGATTAATAAATTTGATATTTGTTGTGTGATGTAATAAAAAAAATAAGATTTTCTATAAAAATTAATCTGACAAATCCCCATAAAATATTTCTTTGCGCGATCGTGTTAAATTATTAGAAAACAATGTGTAATACTGTATACAAAAGATAAATGATTCGTTCAATAAACGAATTCGTTCGTTCGTTCGTTCGTTTTTAATAGCGAATAAAATGGTGTTATAAATAAAATAAAAAAAAATAGAATCAATGTAAAAAAAAAAGAGAAGACAAGCAATATGACGTTAATTCATCGACCCGTGGCCATCGACTCGCACGAAACTAAAATATATTGTCTGACGTAAACCGAGTGTATTACTCCTGTGTATTTGCAAGGTTTCGCGTGCCAACGTCGCGTGGGTCTTTTAAGAGATTCGTTGGGAATACATATTACATACATAAAACACGTATACATGTGTCTTAAAAATCATTAACGTTATCCTTAAACCATAAATAATTATTTTATTTTCATCATCGAATAAAAAATATTTTCATTGATATGAAATTTATTTCTTCGCAGCATTGTCGAAACTTTTGAAGTCATTGAAGGAAAACAAATCGGAAATACCAAGTTGTACCGACGAAGAATTCGGTTTTCTAAGCGAATTGTTACAATCTAAGGAATTGAACGCATTGGTCACAGTTCACAATAAGATAATAAACAATGTCAAGGATGATAAGTTCTTTCCCGTATTGTCCAATTCTATGGACATCGATATTGAAGTTCTCGATATGTTGTCTACGAAAACTCACGTTTCCGAAGATTACAAAGAACTTTTTCATCTTTTACAAAAACCTAATATGCAGGTCTGTACGATATTATGTTTAAAAATTAAATTTCTTTCTTTCTTTCTTTCTTTTCTTTTTGGAATCAATTAGCTTTATGGGTGATTTCTTAAAAAATATGTGTATAAATAAATTCTATCGTTAAAATTGATCTCGAAGCTAATTGGTTAATTTACTTATTGAGTTATATTGGGTTAATCAAATTTAATAGTTTCTTCTTCCTTTTTTTTTTTTGTGTAAATTTATTCAGGGTTTACTATGCGCTCACGACGCCGTTGCCCAAAAGGATTACTATCCCAGATTACCCGAAATTCCATTGGAAGTAGACGAGGATGAGGAAACGGTTAAGATCGTTCAGCTGGTCAAATCGAACGAGCCCCTGGTACGTAGAAATCGATTTGTTCGATCGTAATTTCTTCGATTCTAGACTATCCGTATACATATTCTCCTTTTCTTCCATTTGATTAACCTTTGACATAAAACGAAACCAACATAAATAAAAAAAGAATAGGGAAAATTAATCGTTGATCGCCGAAGGGGTTCCCCTTTTAACAAAAACGCGAAATAAAACTGGGACGGTAGGGTGAAAGAAAAATAAAAAAAAAAGATTAACGAATGAGAGGGTTCAGTTATATTATTATTATTATTATTATTATTATTATTTTTATTATTATTTTTATTTTTATT